AGAGCGCCGGCGTAGGACCTAAGAAGAGGAGGGATCGGGCTGCTCTATGCAAAACCTCTGCACACAGCAGGTAAGTATAGACATGTTTGTTATTTTTTTCTAAAAAACAATTGGCCTTTAGAATGAGCTGTGTACAGTACAGACAGATAAGAAATGTTATTGTATAATATGTCTCTTTTGCATAAAAACTGCCTTTTTGCAAATTTTTAATGAAAGTTCCGCTTTAATGATTTAATACAGGTATTCCTATAGCACCGTACCATCAGTTTTACATATATATATTGTACATTCACATCAGCCCCTGCCCATAAGGAGCTTACAATCTAAAGTCCTTAACTCACATACACATACCAGGGTCAGTGTAGACAGGAGCCAATTCACCTACCAGCATGTCTTGGAGTGTGGGAGGAAACTAGAATACCTGGAGGAAACTCATGCAGGCACAGGGACAGCATGCAAACTTCAAGCAGGTAGTACTGTGGGTGGAATTTTAACCAACAACCCTAGTGCTGCCAGATGGAAGTGCTAACCACTTAGCCACTGTACTGACAATAACTAAGAAATCAAAAGACAAATGGATATCCTAAAAAATATTAGAAAGTTTTTAGTGCTTTTTTTTTGTTTGCTGACATTTTAAAACCCCTGCAAGTATAGGAAACACCTGTTGATCTTCCAGAAATGCACTCCTTTCCTAATTCCTGTTATGGACTGACAACACAGCAATTTCTGGACTGAGTGGTGTCATCCCTGCCCAGTTTTCTTTTGTTAAACTACTAAACCCCCCCAACTCTTCCATCTCCATAACAAATACCTAGTCTCAAGAACTAGGAGGACAAATTACTCTCCTTGATAGAACAGGGGTTTATTTACTAAAGCTGGAGAGTGCAAAATCAGGTTCCCATCTGCATGAAAACCAATCCGCTTTCAAGTTTTATTGCACAAGCTGAGGTTAGAAGCTGATTGGGTACCATGCACAGCTGCACCAGATTCTGAGTGAACCAGATTTAGTAAATCTCCCCCAAAGTGTGGGCAAGACACAAGATAGTTCTACATTTTGACATGATCAACACATTATTTTGGACTTATTGAACAGATGAAAATAAAAAAACACTTTCAGCAGTATATTATTTAGACCAAAAGGGAGCTAATGAGGCACTCATTGCTAGGGTTTTCATACAGTTATATTTTTCTTTTAACTGTAATAAAATAACATATATTTATAAGTGAAGTCATCCATCCAGTTTGCAGGCAGAAAATCCACCTATTAATTAAAAATACAACCCTTTTAGTTGTTTCATTTATTATATTCATAATATTTTTCAGTTATTACTAACAGTAAGTATCCTCCTACGCTTAATGCGGAAGTCGCAAACCTAACTATAGCTGCTGCCACTTAACTTAAAACCAATAAGTGATGATACAAAGTAACTGTAAATAGTGAAGCGCTATAAATCCTATTAAATACAGATAAATATTATATATTACTAGCCGTGCACACACAATAGTGCTCAGTGACAAATAATTGCAAACAAATAAATATCTCTTTCCATAAGTATAAGAGAAACATGACCTTGAATATGTGACAAACTACAGATAATTGTGAAGTGATTCTTTAACCTCCCTGGCGGTATTCCCGAGTGTAGCTCAGGGTAAAGTTTCTGTACCAAAAGCGGTAACCCCGAGCTACACTCGGGCTTACCATGCGGCGTTGCTCAGGGAGTCCCTGCAGCACTTACCTTGTCCTTCGCTCCCGCGATGTGTCCCCTGCAGCGTCCCCGGCCATCTCCTCCGGCCGATGCCGGCATCTGGCTTCTGTGTTCCGGTCCCTGTGACGTCAGGACGTACGGGCACCGCCAGCGGCGGGAAATTTGAAAATTTAAAAAAAATGTCATTTTTTCAAAACGAATTTTACATAGTAAAACATTGCTGTTTCAAACCATTTCACATACATTTTGTCCCTAGTGCTTTGTCCTGTGCCCTGCCTGCATTTTGACTGTTCTTTCTGCCTGGAAACTTAGAAAAGTCCATGGCGTCCAAAAAGAGTCCCTTTTGGGGAGATTTACTAAAGCTAGTTCACTCAGTATCTCGTGCACCTGTCCATAGTGACCAATCAGCTTCTAACCTCAGTTTGTTCAATTAGGCTTTGGCAATAAAACCTGGAAGCTGATTGGTTTCCATGCAGAAGAGCACGAGATTCTGAGTGAACCGGCTTTAGTAAATAAACCCCTTTAGGTCAAAAGCGGTTTTAGACCGGCTAGAGAACAGCGATAGTAAATCAGAACCACTTGCAGAATTGAGTGATAATGATTCGTGGGGAAATTCGTCATCAGACACTGAAAACAATTTTGCGACTTTGCTCAGTGATGTGCAAACTTGGCGCTATATTTCAAATTTCAGTGTTTTTGGTTTGATTATATTATTGAATTAAATGTATTATTATTATATTATTATTTTTTATGATTATTTATTATATTATAATTTATGATTTTGTGTTTAAAATTTTATCCTACCCGGGATGTTTACTAGACTCTTGTTCAGACAGATTTCAGTGAGTTATTCCTAAATATTACAGCCTACAATAAAAAAAACTACATATTTTCCATGCAAAATAATGGTACCGCTTTCAGCACCAAAAATCGGAAATAATCAGACCGCCAGGGAGGTTAAGAAGAAAAAATTCTATTATTCTACTATTTATCAATATCTCTAAAAACACACTGTGTATATACAAACATCAAACCAATCAAATTATATGTGTGTTAATTGAAAACATAAAGTTCATGCAAGTGAATCTGTGCTGATGTGATCTTCACTCCAGTGAAAAATGAACAGAAATCCTCAAATGGCAGCAATGCCTGCTCACCTCCACACATTACTTCAGCATACGTGTCCATAACAGACAGGGTGCCTCTCTGTTATGGACACGTATGCTGAAGTAATGAAGGTTGAATGTCTGTATGCAATTTTATGGATCTCTGTATGTTGATGAAGGGGCTAGAACGATGGAATACTGTTTCTTGCTTTATACCCTATATATGTTACCTTGAGTGGAGGAAGAATGAATAAGGTGCGCTGAGCAGAGGTCTTTTTCCTGTCCCATGGTCCCTGTGATGAGGAGTGGAGTGGAGAGGATCTGTTACTGTTTATTATAGCCCTGTGGCCATGTGTGGGTCAATGTGTGGAGGTGAGCAGGCATTGCTGCCATTTGAGGATTTCTGTTCATTTTTCACTGGAGTGAAGATCACATCAGCACAGATTCACTTGCATGGACTTTATGTTCTCAATGAACACATATATCATTTGATTGGTTTGACGTTTGTATATACACAGTGTGTTTTTAGAGATACTGATCAATAGCACGGGAATTTTTTCTTCTTAAAGAATCACTTCACAATTATCTGTAGTTTGTCACATATTCAAGGTCATGTTTCACTTATACTTGTGGAAAGAGATATTTGTTTGCAATTATTTGTCACTGAGCACTATTGTGTGTGCACGGCTAGTAATATATAATATTTATCTGTATTTAATAGATAGGATTTATAGCGCTTCACTATTTACAGTTACTTTGTATTTTTCAGTTATTGTCATGCACAGAAGCAACCTAAAATACATTCTCCCAGAAGTCTACTACTGCAGGAAAACGATACATAAATAGGAAATGTGTTGACTACAGAACACTTTCCCCATGTTATAGAGATGGGGGGGTGGTTGTATTCTGCAGTCCTAAAACTCGCCTTTTCCTAGGGTGACAACGCCACTCTGCTATAAAAATCAAACACTGAATGAGTGTTGTTGACCTAGGACAGGATGACTGTTACTGGCAGTATGGACAGGTAAAAGAAGGAAAAATATCCCGGCAAAAGGAAACTACTGCAACCAGTACATCTGAGACTGCTGAGATGCAATATATGAAATGTTTGTTTTTAGATACACTTTAATTATCTATTTTCATCCTAGCAGTTACAGCAACAATTCCCAGCTATGGCAACCAGTCTAAAATCCTTCCTATGAGAGACAGGATGAAGAAAAATGATTACCTGTGCTGTGTATGATAAACTCCTGACAGCTTTACAAATCCAAACTCTTTTATTATGGAAATAGACGGCCAATCAGCTATAGCTTTTCTCAGTACGTTTCCTTCAGTGTATTTATTAAAGGAACACATCATTTGAATGCATCCAATTTATGCTGGTATCAATCTCCTGTAATCCCCTGTACAGCAGCACTCAGGCTGGAAGAGGCAGCACTTTAAAGGTTTGTTCACACTTGCAGCCAGGGGATGCTAATAATAGTGATTGAGCCATAGGTTTACCACCCCTTTCACCCAACACTATGGCTGGTGAGGATTGTACACATGCCACAGCTGTGATGCTTTGCTTCATGGCTGTAGCAAAAGTTAACCCTCCTGTTGCACTTGATGGGCAGAACCACTGCTGAACATGACCTATTTAACCACTAGCCTACAGGGCACCTATACCCCCTTCCAGCCCAGGCCAATTTTCAGCTTTCAGCACTGTCACACTTTGAATGACAATTGCGTGGTCATGCAACACTGTACCCATATGAAATTTTTATCATTTTTTTGTGACAGATAGAGCTTTATTTTGGTGGTATTTCATCACCTCTGGGTTTTTTCTTTTTTCCTATACAAACCAAAAACCACTGAAAATTTAAAAAAAAAATCATTTTTTCTTAGTTTTTGTTATAAAATTTTGTAAACAAGTGATTTTTCTCTTTCATTAATGAGGCTGCAGTGATGGGCATGGGATAGGCTGCACTGATGGACACTGATAGGTGGCACTGATGAGGAGGCACTGGTATGTGGCACTGATTAGTTTTTGTTATAAAATTTTGTAAATAAGTGATTTTCTTCTTCACTGACATGCTCTAATGAGGCTGCAGTGATGGGCACTGATAGGTGGCACTGATGAGGAGGCACTGATGGGCATTGACAGGTATCACTGATGTGCACTGAAAGGCAGCACTCATATATGGCACTGATAGGCAGCACTGACTGACACTGTTAGGTGGCACTGACTGGCACTGTTAGGTGGCACTGAGAGGCAGCACCGAAGGGCTCTGATAGGCGGCACTGATGCACACTGATAGGCGGCACTGACTGGCACTGATTGGCAGCACTGATAGGTGGCACTGATTGACATTGATATGTGGCACTGATGGGTAACACTGAAAGTCAGCTCAGATGGGCACTGATATGTGTGATATGTGGCATTGATGTGCACTGGTAGGCACTGGCAGGTGGCATGGATGAGCACTGATAGCTGGCACCGATGGACACTGACAGGTGGCACTGCTGGGGCTACACTGATCATCAGTGCCCTGATGATCAGTGCACATGCCCCCTCTGAGAAATGCCGATTACCGGCTCTCCTCTCGAGCTGTCAGCGTGACAGCTCAAGAGGAGAGAAATGCCCATAACTGGCATTTCCCTGTTTACATGTGATCAGCTGTGATTGGACACAGTTGATCACATGACCGAGCCGACATCTTCGGCTCTTTCTGTGGATCAGTAATCCTCTGTGTCCGAGGGACACAGCGCACTGCCGAACGCTGCGCTGCGCGCTCCCAGAGCCGCACATGCGCGGTGAGAATGGGAGGACGTCATATGACGTCCTCCCAGAACAAGAGAACTGCCTTGCGCCCGTCATTGGACTATATGGCGGGCTGGAGGCGGTTAAAATGGTTGTAAACCCTTACATATACCCAGTATAGTGACTGGCCTCAGGTGATAGACAAAGATGGAACAAATCCTCTTACTTAAGTTGTACCTGTTTATCTGCAACTTTCTTTTCTCTACCTCCATTCCAAAGTCCAGAATTTATAAAGTGTGTCTGAGCTGTCAAAAAACAGGTGGGGAGCTGAAGTTACACTTTGAAGAGCTAAGCGAGATGAGCTCTGAGAGCTGATTGAAGGGAAGAGACACACCTCCCTTCACACAACACACAGGAACAGAGCTGAGGCTGTCAGTCACAGGCTGTGTGCTGGAGGTCCGTCCCCTGTCACCTTTTTCCCCTTGGTGTCAGGAAAACTTGTCATAACTGACTCATGCTGATAGCAGAGGAATGAAGCAGCATCCAGTTCTCTGAATAGAGGCAAGTACACACTAAAGAGGGATATGCTTTGTTCACATTCCATGTCTGAGGTTTACAACCACTTTAAGTAAAGTGGATTGCACGGCAACTGCCTTGGAACCATGTGGTTGCAGCAAGGAAGTGCAGCCTTTTCAGAGTTAAATTAGGCTGCGGGGTACATATCTCCCAGATGCCTGTCATTGCTCTCTGAAACCACAGATCAACGAACCCTAAGACAATCGGGCTCTTGGCGTAGTGCATATGGGCTAAGTGAGTACAAAGATGGTGCCTTTCAAGTGAATAGTACAACCATGTTTTATGAACATGGGCCCGCAGCAGACTTTCCCCCCCTCAAAAAAATAAACAAAAATAACGGCCATCCAGGAGGCAGACTATAGCCTCCGAGCCACCAAGCTCTTAGGTCAATCACCTCTGAAAAGTGTTCCACTGTGGATTGATTTTCAGAGATGTCAGAAACAAACTACCCATGTGAACAAGGCTTAGGCTCCATGCACACTAGCGATTATGTAGCTAAAAAAACACTCGAAAAAACGCTGAATAAAAAAATGCTGGTAATAGTGTTTTTTAGCAGTGTTTCAGTAGCGTATAGAAGCATCTAGGAGCATTAGCATTAGCTAACAAAGCTAGAAAAAAAAGCTGTTAGGAGCATTTTAGTAGTGTTTTTGCAACATTTAGGAGTGTTCAGTATTTTTTTCTGCTGAAAAAATGCTCCCAAAAACTCTACAAAAAACATTTTTTATTTACTTCTAAACGCTGAAGCTTGAAAAATGCTTAGCCTAAAGTAATGTGCATAGACACATAGGATAGAACTATTTAGCTTCTAGGAGCAGAAAAAATGCTGATAACAGCTTCTAGGAGCTTAAAAAATGCTAGTGTGGATGTAGCCTTAAAGCAAAGTTCCAGCTGAAAAAAAAAAAAAATAAAAGTCAGCAGCTACAAAACCTGTAGCTGCTGACTTTTAAAATACAGACACTTACCTGTCCCTCGGTCCAGCAGTGTCCTCACCACTGCTGGTTTCACTGGCAGTCTTCTCTCCCCGGTGTTGGCATCTTCAGTGTGGGCTCTCGGCTGTCACAGCTTGTGGCTTCACAGCCGGGTGCCCACTGCGCATGCGCGAGAAGCGCTGCACTTTGTGAATGGCCTCAGTATCATAAATCAGAAAAGCGCCAAACCTAAATTTTTTTTTAAATAAACAAATATAAAAATAAATCTAAATAAGCAGCAAACCTGAACCCAAACTTGGTATAGATATTAGATAAATATAGGAATGCACTAATATATTAAATAATGAAAACAACAAAAAAAGTGTCCATATAATTCTGTGTAGAAGTCCAACCACCATACAAATGCTGGAAAATCATATGGAAACCATAACACCATGATAAATCCACCACCAAATAAATTGGATAAACTCACCAGGGCTATATGCTGATCAAATTATAAATCAGCATTCCCTTTTCCATGCTGATTATGCTGGTGTCGGCCAGGACACCTTGTTTGTGAGTGTTACCATGTTTTAATAAATGTGATTGGTTTTAAACATGCTGCACCATTATGTCCTCTCTTGATTCCTGAGTGCGGTTCCAATATGTATGGAGAAACGAGGGTTATGTGAAAAGTTCCGTTCATGCTGAGTGATTGGCGGCAGAGTATTGCTCCTTGAGTCTGGATATTGTCTACAGCTGCAGAGTATTGCTCCTTGAGTCTGGATATTGTCTACAGCTGCAGAGTATTGCTCCTCGAGTCTGGATATTGTCTACAGCTGCAGAGTATTGCTCCTCGAGTCTGGATATTGTCTACAGCTGCAGAGTATTGCTCCTCGAGTCTGGATATTCCCTACATTCATCACTCCCAGAGCAATAGTGTTTATGCTGATTTATAATTTGATCAGCATATAGCTCTGGTGAGTTTATCCAATTTATTTGGTGGTGGATTTATCATGGTGTTATGGTTTCCATATGATTTTCCAGCATTTGTATGGTGGTTGGACTTCTACACAGAATTATATGGACACTTTTATTGTTGTTTTCATTATTTAATACAGGGGTCCTCAAACTTTTTAAACAGGGGGCCAGTTCACTGTCCCTCAGACCGTTGGAGGGCCGGACTATAGTTTTAAAAAAAAAAAACTATGGTCATCTCCTGTACTGTGTCCGCATTTGTTCAGAGACTGTGGACATACAACGGCGGGGGAAATACTGGGCCGGCCACTCTGTAAGACGCACAGACATTTCCCCCCAAGTGTGTCTTATGGGGCGAAATAGTGTCCCCATCATTGGTGTCAGTGGGAGGAATAGTGCCCCATCGTTAGTGTCAGTGGGAGGAATAGTGTCCCATCATTGGTATCAGTGGGAGGAATAGTGCCCCATCGTTGGTGTCAGTGGGAGGAATAGTGCCCCATCGTTGGTATCAGTGGGAGAAATAGTGCCCCATCATTGGTGTCAGTGGGAGGAATAGTGCCCCATCATTGGTGTCAGTGGGAGGAATAGTGCCCCATCATTGGTGTCAGTGGGAGGAATAGTGCCCCATCGTTGGTATCAGTGGGAGGAATAGTGTCCCATCATTGTATCAGTGGGGAGGAATAGTGCCCCATCGTTGGTGTCAGTGGGAGGAATAGTGCCCCATCGTTGGTATCAGTGGTAGAAATAGTGCCCCATCATTGGTGTCAGTGGGAGGAATAGTGCCCCATCGTTGATTCAGGGGGAGGAATAGTGCCCCATCGTTGGTGTCAGTGGGAGGAATAGTGCCCCATCGTTGGTGTCAGTGGGAGGAATAGTGCCCCATCATTGGTGTCAGTGGGAGGAATAGTGCCCCATCGTTGGTGTCAGTGGGAGGAATAGTGCCCCATCATTGGTGTCAGTGGGAGGAATAGTGCCCCATCGTTGGTGTCAGTGGGAGGAATAGTGCCCCATCGTTGGTGTCAGTGGGAGGAGGAATAGTGCCCCATCGTTGGTGTCAGTGGGGGGGAGGAATAGCTCCCCATCGTTGGTGTTAGTGGGGGGAGGAATAGTGCCCCATCATTGGTGTCAGTGGGAGGAAAAAATGCCCCATCATTAGTATCAGTGACACCAATGATGGGGCACTATTCCTCCCACTGACAGCAATGACATTTAACTAGCCGACTCCTGTTCCAGCATGGTGCTGCTGCAGCCAGCATACCTGATTGCAGCAGTACCATCTGCACGGCACACTTACCGGGCGGTCAGCTGTCCTCCTTCCTTCACTCTGGCCTCTCCCTCCCTTGATTTTCGCGGGGCCGCTCGGCTCCGCCTCCTCGCCGGTGATTGGCCGCCTGTGTGCCTTTCCTGAGCTACAGTACTGGCGCCCAATCACCGGTGAGGAGTCGGAGCTGAGCGGCAGCGCGCGGACATCGAGTGAGGGAGCGGCCGGAGTGAAGGAGCAGCGCATCCTGGACTGGATCGTTGTGGGACTGGGACCGGAGCCAGGTAAGAGACAGCAGTCCCCTGCCCACCCCTGTACTTGGTGTCCCCTGCCGGCAGGCCGGATGAGTGTGCTCAGCGGGCCGCATGTGGCCCACGGGCCGTAGTTTGAGGACCCCTGATTTAATATATTAGCACATTCCTATATTTATCTAAACTTTGTGAATGGCCCCCCGTAGTCTTCTGGGGCCTGTCATGTGTCACAGAAGACTACGGGGAGGGAGAGGGGGAGGACAACTTCCGTTTTTGATCACCTAGGCCAGTGGTGGGCAACCTTTTTTTTCAACTGAGCCAAATCTCGCCAAAACCACGATTGAAATTTATTTTGAGAGCCACATTTTTAAAACTGGAAATACATAGGATGGTACACTGTTTTTAGTTTCAATAAGTTTTTATAGTAATTCATCCCCCATATTGATTCATCCCCCATAGTAATTCATCCCCCATATAGTAATTCATCCCCCATATAGTAATTCATCCCACATAGTAATTCATCCCCCATATAGTAATTCATCCAACATATAGTAATTCATCCCCCATATAGTAATTCATCCCCCCTATAGTAATTCATCCCCCCTATAGTAATTCATCCCCCATAGTAATTCATCCCCCATATTAATTCATCCCTCATATAGTAGTAGTAAGTAAGTAGCAAGTAGTAAGCCAAGTCCCCCCTGTGTCAATTCACTTACCTTTTCTCCGCGCGTTCCTCTCGCCGTGTTCCCGTGCCGTTCCGGTCTTCAGGGCGGACTGTGAGAGGAGCCTAGCTCCTCTCACGTTCGTCACGCTGCCCCACCTACACACATCCTGACAGCCAATCACTGGCTATCAGGATGTGAGTGGCAGCGAGACTGGCCAATCATTGCATTTGAGCGCGCTGCCCTGGCTGTTTTTTTTTTGGATCACGCTCCGCGGGCCGGATTAAAAGGTCCGCCGGGCCGTAGTTTGCCCATTGCTGGGTCCTGACTTTTGGGGCGGCCGAGAGGAGGGAGGGGAGCGGGCGCCCGGCACACAGAAGAGCCGCATTAAAGTGTGTAAAGAGCCGCATGTGATGTGGCTCGCGAGCCACGGCTTGCCGACCACTGACCTAGGCTATGGCAGCGAAAGTGGGAGTGGGTACCTGTCAAATGCGGGTGCCAATCCTTAATGGGGAGTGGGGGACAAAGGCTCAAAGTGGAACTTCCCCTTTTGGGTGGAGCTCTGCTTTGAATAAAAAAAGAATGTTTTTGCCTTTATTTCATCCTTTGCTGCATCTTAATGCTGCTGCTCTCCTGCAGCCTGTCTGCAGCCACTTCTTGTCAATGAGAGTGAGGCTGGTGGAATGCTGAACTCAAAGCTTAGAGGAGGTGCTGAATATATCAGATCTCTAATGTCTGATGAACACCATATACTATTCAATGCCATATAACTGTCTGTAGGATATCAAAAACCTTCAGAATGATCTTCTATAATTCTTGTATAGTTCTCGTCAGTTTCATATTTCCTAAAATTATACAGCACATTTTATGCTTAATAACCTTCAGATTGATCCTACCACTTTAGACCCAATGTAATTGGCTGGATTGTGCCGGTTGTAACTATTATTCTTGTGGTGTCCCTCATTTTTCATCATTCTTGTGCTATGTATACAGCGATACATTTGGATGAATAAGAAAATAACTATATAAAGTAAGTTTTTGTTATTATTATGTCCTGATGAAGGGGAATTGGCGTGTAATATTCCTCGCGGTTGTGACAAGTAAATGTTATATCTGATTGATTACTATGGCTTGGTACTCTCTGCTGTGATGATTACATGGCATTTCTCAGATGGTGACGGATGGAACATATCTATGCAATGTGTGTTGAATCAGCCACTTTAAGGCTAGCTTCACACTAGACGTGTGCGGTTCGTTTCATTCCGATTTGAATTTCAGACAATTTTTTTTTAGTTATTCGGACATTCAGATGTATCAGAATTCTAAATTATAAAAATAACAAATTTAAACGAATCCGAAATAATGAAACAAAATTCGTCTAAAATTCGATTCGAAAACAAAATTGAAAACAAAATCTAACAAACATTTGAAAATCAATCTAAAGCGGAGCTCCACCCAAAAGGGAAAGTTCTGCTTTAAGGACTGGTCCCCTGCTTCCTGTTAAGGGTTGAAACCTTTGGGGAATGGGGGGGGGGGGGAGGGCAGGTGCCGGAAATTGACAGGTACCCACCCCTCTTCCTCTGCGATCGCATAGGCAATTGGAAGTGGAAGTTGTCCTCCTCTCTCCCTCCCCATAGTCTTCTGGGACACGTGACAGGTCCCTGAAGACTACGGGGCCATTCACAAAGCGCAGCACTTCTCGCGTATGCGCAATGAGCATTGAAACTGCAGGCTGTCATAGCCATGTGCCCTCACTGCTGGCGCCAGGAACACAGGGAGGCCAGTGAAATGAGCTGTGAGAGGGGGACACACCGCAGGATCGAGGGACAGGTCCATTGTTTAAAAGTCAGCAGCTACAGCTTTTATTTTTTCTTTTAATTTTCAAATCTACATCGTATGGCCAACTTAACTTTTCAAATTCGGTCTAACTTTTTTTTGAATTTGGTTGAATTGATAAATCAATTTCAAACTTGGTTGAACCAATTTCAAATGTGAACAACTTTTTGAATTTGGTTGACATATTTTCAAATTGAATTCGAATATGAATTACCGAAATTAATCCCAAAAACGAATTGAATGAATTTACCGAATCCAACTACATGAAATTTGTTAGATTTCAAATTGAAACGAAACAAATTCTTTTGTTTTCCACATGTCTACTTCACACTACCCAATGCTAAGTAGCCATTGTTTTTTCTTTCTCTGTGAACAGCAGTTTATTTTGGGGCTAATGTGCTTTGAGTGAACATGCGGCCCAATTGACTTAAAGCAGTATTAAACCCAAAAGCACACATTTATTAAATTGCAGCTTACCAATTATTAGATGTGATGGCTGCATTATTTATTTATTTCAGGTACTTCTGTAGCGCCGTCAATTTACACAGCACTTTACATATTGTACATTCACAGCAGTCCCTAACCCTCCAGGAGCATACAATCTAAGGTCACTAACTTACATTCATACATATACATACTAGGGCCAATTTAGACAGGATCCAATTCACCTACCAGCATGTCTTTTGGAGAGTGGGAGGAAACCGGAGTACCCAGAGGAAACCCACGCAGTTACAGGGAGAACATGCAAACTCCAGGCAGGTGGTGCCATGGTCGGGATTTGAACCAGCGACCCGAGTACTGCGAGGTGGAAGTGCTAACCATTTAGCCACTGTGCCGCCCATTATTTTTCTTTTTTAGGTTTTCTTTCTTCTCTTTTTATCTGGTGAAGCTGTTCAAGCTCTCCAGCATCAGTTTACATGGATGAGACAATCCATTTACCACTGGCAGTGGTTATTAAAATTATCAGCTTTTATTTATGTAAAACCTTTATCCCCCAAAAAAAGTATTCACTGTAACGGATTATAAAGTGTGAGCTGGAGTTTGGCTTCAATTTATTATTGTATTCAAATCTACTAATAAATTTAAAACTCCCCTCTCCCCAGACTGACAATATTGCAGTCTGCTGTGTCTTGTGCTCTTTCCTCCACAGTGGTGTCTCACTAATACTGGAGGTACATTACTGGCCAGATCACGAGACCAACAGAGGGAAAAAGAAAAGAAAACAGATGCAGCCACCATATCTAATGATTGGTAAGCTGCAATATAATAAATTTTTCGTTTTGGGTTTAATACCGCTTTAAATGGCTGAGTTTGACAAGCAGCCCTACCTATCAACTCAGCATGTTGCATTAAATTTGCCACGGCCGTATCATGTGAATATCTTCCATTGGCTGTTGGTTAGCTTCTAGGTAGATAAAACCATATCTCAGCCTTCTGTTTTTACATCCCCAATGTCATCTATGTGCAAAGAGACCTTAGTTTCCATTTAAAGCTTGTGTGAAAGGGTGACAATATGGGAGACAGGTTGACAGATAGAGACAGAGTGTTGTCACCACCTAACAGAAAGTGCCATAAAATGAAAATGACAAAATTACATCACTAAAAGCAAAAAGATAAGTGAGCGCTTGTGTAAATATGTAATGAGCAGCAGCTGTACACCAGAAAAGGCACCGTATCAGACCTTCAATAGCATAAATGTAAAAGAGGAGGTGCAGCGCTATATAACTAAACACAATACTAAATAAACCACTAATGGTACACAATAGTGATAAACAGTGACTGAAATTAATAATGCCACTAAATGGTGGCCATAGAGTGAGGAGAGTGAAACAGTCCAATGAAGGAGTGCTTTGAGATCCGGGATGATCTTCAAACGTCCTATATGAAGGACCAACAGGTGATAAAATATGAAGACTGCGCACTCACCAGATACGCACTCTTTATGCGCATTTGTATAAAAATATCACTGGACCTCCTGTATCCTCATCTT